CCGAATGGCTTCAACAAAAACAGAAAGCAAATGTGCACAGTGAAGCTGGAGAGCCCAGAACACAGATAGTGGAGTTCAGATCAAGAGAGATATACCCTCAAACTCCAGAGTCAGTGAGAGATCATTGAGCCCATTGTGGTGTGTGCGTACAGCACCTGTGTGCTCACCAGACTTGGAGTCACTGGGTAGCTTCTTTGGATCCCACTTCTGACACCACAGAGCCAGAAGTTCAGGGAAAAAAACAGACCTAAAACCAATGAATCCCTGAAGTACTATTAGTAAAAGTATATTGTGTTTACACCAAAAAGACAGTTTGCAAGCCGGAGGCTTTCCAATCAAAGCATGGAAGGAGGCTCAGAGGTATATTGTTATAAAGCAGCTTATGTATTATAGAGGTAATGACTGGTTACAGTATTAGAATTTTCTTAAAAGAAAGGGAATTGGTTAGTGGTTATCTCATATCAGTTTTGGGATCAATTTAAGTTTCATTTATCATTTTCAGAGGCATAAGCAAGAAGTGTCCAATGTCAAGTTAGCCTCACTTTCCTTGCAAAATAAGTTAAGCTTTGCCTGTGTGACTAAACTAGTTTTATCTGTCCAGAGAATTTTCAAGTCTGGTCTTTATTTGTGTTTGACTTTAACAATAGTTAGAAAAAATTATTTCTTACGATGAGGACTTTAAAGAGCTACTCCCTTCACAACTTTCAAATATGCAATACAGTATTATTAACTATAGTCTTTGTGCTCTATATTATATCCCCATGACTTATTTATTTTATAATGGGAAGTTTGTATATTTGACCGCCTTCATCCATTTCATCTAACCCCCATCCCCACCACTGGCAACCACCAATCTGTTCTCTGTATCTATGAGCTTTGGGTTGTGTTTTGTTGTTTTCCTTTTGTATTGTTTAGATTCCACATATAAGTGAGATCATACAGCATTTGCCTTTGACTTATTTCACTTAGCATAATGTCCTCAAGGTCTATCTCATTGCAAATAGCAAGATTTTATGTTTTTTATGAATGAATAGTACTTCATTATGTGTATACATGTACACATACTCACATACCACATATTCTTTATCCATTCATTCATCCACTGATAGACCCTTAGGTTGTTTCCATATCTTGATTATTATAAATAA